CAAAGTGAACACTGAGCATGCTAGTGCCTCTCTCAGAAAGGGTGTTCCTGTCGTCTGAGTATTTTGCAATTCTTTCTTTCAGGAATTTTTTCAGCCTTGTTTGAGCAGCATGTTCACCAGCTGGGAATCGACTTGCGAGGTCTGTGGCTTCTTCGGATGATAAAGACTTTGACTCAGGTGCTGGTGGAATTGACAAGTTGAAAAGCGTCGAGTGGATCTCGCGTGTCCCTGATGGGTTCGCAGCTGGTGGAGGAGAAACTTCAAGAACTTCAAGATGGGTATGAACATGCTCCGTCCAGGTGCGAAACCATGGAGTGTAAACAGAGAACTGTTTTCCAGTCGACTACCATTGCGATAAAGATGTCAACCACACTGTACCATAAACGTGGATCGAAATGGGCTTCATAAAACCTTTGTACTCAATTCCCCAGGCTTCACAACACAAAGGTCATGGTGCACACTAAAGCATATGCCTCTCATCACACCTTTCCTGATGATGTTCACATCCCGTCGCAGCTCGTCAACTTCGTACTCAGCGTTTGCGTAGACATGGTTGGCGCCCCATTCACTCGCCAGTTGTAAAACGCGGCTCTGGATATTACTACGGCGCTCGACAACCTCGATGTAGAGTGGTATGTCGAGCTTATCCAAATCTTTTTGTACGATCCTTAGACTCCTGAGTATGAAGTCCACTTTAGCTGGGCTCGTGAGATGAGCTTCGAAATCTTCTGGCGAAATAAGGTACATGGCGACAAGAGTGGCATTCACACCACTCTCGCTGGTTTGGGCTATTGTAGAGGCGAGATTCAAAGCGGTATTATCTGACAATCTCAAGTCTCCGCGAAACCAATGAACTACAGAGCGGCCCAGTGGTATCTGATGGCGAGCGTTCGATGTTTCGATCAAAGCTGCTTTAAGGGCTTCAATAGGTCGTTGGCGATCCCCAGTTATGTATTCATGTGCACGCTCGTCTGATAGTTCTGGTGGGTAGTATTTTCGAAGTATCAAGCCGCCTTGACTATCGCCACTGTATTCAGGAGTCTTTAGTTCGAACGAAGTCGTTTCTGCTGCTGTGATGGGTTCTTCGAGGCTTGCCTTTCGAGGGGAATCCTCTGTTAGGATCTTTTGTGCCTTTATCGTGCGAGCCTTAGTAGGAGACGCTCTACGTTTTGGCATTATACTGGTAGTTGTTAGGGTCTGTGGGTCAAGCTATGGAGTGTGACTTTAGGCGTGTAAGCAGAAGAAAGTAGAGAAGGAGGATAGTTTGCGAGTGAATTGTACGATACCAGCGAACCTTAGGATCTATCTAAGCCGAAATGGACGAGGGCGAGAAGCAAGGAACGAGACGCGCACAAAGGACACGCGCTGGTAGCATGTTGTTACAAAGTCAAATTTGGGGCAAACTCGAGACATCTCTGCAAGAAAGGCCCTGATGACGGTGTGAACACCGAACAGGGCGATTGACTAAGGACCCGGCGATTTAAGTTTGCGGGAGACGCGATTGAGATCGAGATCCTAGATAAGCGAGGTAAGGGTTAGGTTAGCCTACCTTCAGGGTCCTGGTTGTCGGGTCAATCATTCATAACATCTCACTCGCTTATCTGATGGGAGATCACAGGCCATCACTCATTTTGGGTCCACATCTAGAACTCCTTGAGAGCTCAAAGGTAGGTTGTAGATGGCTATCATGCTCTTAAAAATTGTTTAGGGGATGAAGCCGAGGTGTGGTGGCCGTTACTACATGAGGTATGGTGGGGGCCATTCCCACATTCACCCTCCAGCAGTAAATATGTATATAATACTACAACTTTAATTTAACATTTATTTTAATTTTAGCCACGGCATGCCTTTAATGCCCCTCAGTGTACTTTTCAGGCAACAGACCTAAGGGTAACTACATGTGGTGACCAATGTACACCTGATAATAGCGCACTGTGATATGGAGGCCCCCCACTCCGCGAATGCGTTTCCCAGCTCAAGTCATTAGCTCGGATATTTTGTGTTTGATTTAATAACAGCCCGTAGGAATAACCTGGCATGAGACTCCGTCAGAGCACTGATATCACTGGTGGCAATTGGTGAGGTGATATCAGATGAGCCCAGTTAAAAACAAACACCTACGGAACATGTCGCCGATGTCTGATGTTGATTCAGAACTAGCTTTTCGACGTGCATAGGGGTCTTTTCAATGGTCTTCAACGATATGACGCTGGGTTACGCATGATATTACATCCCACAAGCATACAGATGTGTCCCCAAATCACAATATACATCTAACTGACCAGAGAATCTCGTATTCCTTTGATGATCGATCCTTGGTTAGTTAATTCAATGGGCAGTAAATGATAACAGTCACTTGACATGACGGCCCGTAACCAAAACCCAGCTGAGAGGAAGTTTAACAGTTTCTTGTTCTAACCGAGCACTAATAAAGGGACTGAGTGTGAAGCAGAGTATGAGCTCGTTTTTCTTCATTTTGTGAGAGAGAGCGCACTGTGACCAATCGCAGAATTGTGTCTGTTGCAGCATTCTGCCTACATACACCTTCTTGTTGCAGCGCCACACACCGTTTTGATTGGGCACCCCATTTGTAATTATCCGCCCTTTTGCATTTGATTTGATAGTTTAACTGACGTAATAATTAATTTTATAAACCTTGTAACCCTTTCTTTTTTCAATTATCTTTGCTACGTTGTATTTGTTAAGGAAAATTGACACCAAGCGGTTGCTCGGAGTCATAGAAAATCACTCGGTTCGCACAACCAATCATTCTTGATCACCTGATATTGTTTTCGAAATTTCGGTGAGTAGAGTTTTATGCATGAATTTACGAATACTTTGAGCGTAACCATCACGAGTCCAAAGTCATTAAACGCAGAAATTTTATACGTAGCACTGTAAGAATTTGAAATGGCTACCCTGGGAATCGCATATGTAGATGATCTAGATATTGTCCTGTCTACTAAATTTGTGTCCACAGATTAACTTTAGTGTTATAACATCACATGTAAAGGTAGTAACTGGCAGTCTATGTGTATGCTTGAAACTCTAATCTCTTATCAAAAGTTTCCTTAGATATATTTACTGGGTATATACATGTATGTGGAACTCCATGTTCTTAGAGCCAGAAAAACTCACTTTGGCCACGGTATCGTGAACCGTGTTTGAACAGATTTCTGCTGCATGATCATGGTATACTTGTACCTAGACATCTACCGAGATTTGTCCTTCTCTAGGTCATTATCTCATCTTCCTATCTCGTCCTCAGCTTAGAGTCGATCCAGTTGTGTATGCACCCATCACGAGAATAGAAGATCGTCTCGCAACACCTTTCTTTTGTACCGCCAGATCCCTCCCTCTTTACATTTCTCAATTAATGGGCTACTGATCAAGAAGGGTTTGTGCATTATTCCTTCGGTCTAGCGACCGCTTGAGTTAACTCGTGCTACAGACGTCGTCTCATAACCACGGCATGAATAGACAAGATCCTGAAAAAATTCATCTCCTGATATATATGTACATCCCCTTCTAAAGGCCCCGTTCCCGTATTTTGTTTGACGTAACACAGCAATCTCTAAAGAAGGCACAGGCTCATTGCGCAATAGCCCTAAACCGGGAGGAAGGCCTCCACTGCGAAACGAGTCAAGTCTCGTAGGATATAACGATCGACTCAAACCCTAACCCACTAGGCACAGGAAAGTTGATATTCACAATATATCACTCGGATCTTATTATGCCCCCCACAAAAAACTCAACTCCGCAACCAAGTACTAGCTATATATCCAATTACTTGTTCCCCTAAACGAAAACGGAAAATTCCCGAATGCACCGCGCTGCCTGCTGGATGAACAAAAGGTGGGAAGAGCAAGGGAAAATGAACAAGAAAATACAAATAAAGAAAAACGAGACGCCGACTCCGACTCCGACTCTCCTGACATAATTTGCTCGCAAGACAAGAATATTAAAGAAAAGAAATGCCAAAATCTAACAACAAATAGAAATAATCCTAGTGATGAGGTTCCGATCCAGTCGCCCACCCGTCCCAGTACATGACAATTTATATAACAAACGAAATAAAGAAAGAAAAAACATGGATAGTAAAACGCCAGGACTCATTATTTCTTCTCTTCAGGCTTTCACATCCATACACTGTTTTCTTCCTCCTGGGACAAAATAGATAAATAATCACTCCAAAAGATATGTAGAAAAATATCGGAGAGAAGGGGTCGGGTCAGGGATACATCGCACCAATCCATATATCACTCCGTCACATCACACCAAAAACCTCAATTCATCTTTTTTCCAAATACAAACCTCGAAGGAAACCGACACCCCCACCCCCACCCCCACCCCCACCCCCACCCCACAAAGGAAACCAGCAAGGAAGCCAATACGTCACAAACAGGAAAGAAATCTTTGTCGTGTCACCGTCTTCTATCGCCCGCAACCACATCCACTGCCACAATCTCAAACCTGATGTTTCTTCTCCAAAGCTGTGTGCACTTCTCTACTCCCCCGTTTTCGATCCACCGGGTTAGGTTCTTGCATTGACTAACGTCAAATACCTCCAGGTTATGGCATCCTTCTACAACAGCTTCAACGCCTACACCAGTGACACGGACACAACCCCGGACTGATAGTTCCCGGAGCTCTAGCAGATGAAGACCAATTGCTCGCAACGAGGAATCAGAGACCGCAGAGCCACAAAAGGAAAGTTTCAATATTGACAAATGGGGGCAGCCGAGGGAGAGGACTTCCGTTGCTGTATCAGAAAGTGCACAGCAGAAAGACTATTTGGGTTTCATTGATCAGCCTTTAGGTACGACCATGGGTTAAGAGATTGGAAAGTAAAGAAAGGACGAGCAAAAAATTATGATTGCAATGGATTGGAAACACGAACCAGGTCTAGAACTCGCAGTCCCTTTGCCGCATTGGTCAAAAACACCACCGCACTGTCCGTGAGATATGTACAATCCGCCAAACACAGACTCCTTAACTTCTCAAATCTCGTCATACTCCAGCTCTGAAATCCTTGATCCGTTATTGTCGTACACCGCGTTAAGTCCACATGCTCCAGCCTCTTTGCCGCATGCGCGGCCAAGTGCGACATTGTCCTGTCTGTGACATGTTTGCAGTAGCTCAATGTTAAACGCCTCAAATTAGGACACCCTATAACTGTACCCGGCGGCGGGAAGATCAATGGCTGCTTGTTTGCCGCAGCGGCTGCCGCCTGCTGCTCCGCATACATGGGGTGGAACTCGGGGACCACCCATCCGACCACCCGTGCCAGAAGCGTGTCGCTGACTTTCCGGCAATTGCTCAGGTCAATCTCTTCAAGTCCTTTTGCGCGGTTGGACATTTCCAGGATTGCCTGACCGGTGATGTCCCAAACACTTTTCATTTTCCATGTCTTCACGTTGGCTCCGCAGGTCTGGGCTAGCACGGTGAAGCCTTCGTCACTGATGTGGAAGCAATTCGAGATGTCGATTAGGGAAGGCCTGTGACCGACGAAGGGGGCGATCGCATTGATGAGCACAGCATCGTTGATAACACGGTTGTAGGGACGCAAGTCGAGTGTTTGTAGAAGATATGGTGAGTTGCATAATAGCTTGGTCCAATGGGCCGAGACTTGACGGACACGCATCAGTTCGTGCAGTTCCATGTGCTTGAAAATGTGTATCAGTATATCATCCCCGAATTGCCCGATATTGAATCGGGATGGTTTTCTTGACAATATCCTTGCTCTCTTTGGGGCCGAATGGTGCTCCGGAGGTGTGGTCGCATGCTTTGACTTCATTGGTGAGGGTGTAGTGGCTCTGGACAAGGGGCTCGCCTTTTCCTCGGTGGGTGAAGAGTTCCCTGAAGTGCCCGCGGACGGCGGGGGCGGTGGGGCGAGTGAGCCTCTCCTTGACTTTGCTCCAAACGCCTCGAAGTTAATGGGCAGATAAGGATCTGGATCAAAGGGCTCGACAAGATTTCCATCATGAGGACTAGCGACCACTTTGAGCGATTCCTGCGAGACACGAGGAGAATTCTGTCGATCTGACAAGTCTAATTTCGCAATAGTGGGCGTCGGTGGAGCATCTGTCATGACAAGATTCTCACCATCTGCATCCATTCTGTGTCTGGCCGTTGATTCGAGTTGCTGTTGAACCTCCGGCGGGCACTTCTTCCACAATTCCGCCAAAACATCGCCCTCGATCACAAGGCTCTCCACGTAGGTTATACTCCTCACAGTGGCCGTCCGTCTCGGAGCAAGAGAAAGCGCCGTGACCTCCCCAAAGTGCTGACCTTTCCGCAGCCGGGCCTTGACCCTGTTCTTGATGGGATCCGTTACCGATTCATCCACCACCTCCACTTCTCCACGAACGATGAAGTAGATTTCCCTCCCCAAGGAATTTTGCTGTATAATATTTTGGAATGGTCCGAATGTACGTGGCTGCGCACTCAATCCCAGGAAATGCAGGTTCTCCTGCGGCAGGTTGGCAAACAACGGCAATTCCTTCAGAAGCTGCCGCACGTTCACTTGACCGCTTCCCAGCGCCGAACTACTTACCCAGGGACTCCCGGGGGTGAGACCTTGTGAATACAACCCGCGATTACCCCCCTCCGTTGCCCGGCCATTTTCCAGATCCAGATCACCATCTGAATCTACTGACCTCTTGACACCTCCTACCCGTACGCGATTGCTCTCGCGCTCCTGTTTCTTTTTATTTAACAGTGTCAATCGCTCTTCCGCCTCTTCCCTGATCGCCCTTTCCACCGCCGGAAAGTTGGGTAGCTCCCGCTGCAGTGCCTCCTTCGTCAACACAACCAGCAAACACCGACTCCGCGCAATGATCGTTGCCGTCCGCGGAATATCCATCAGAATACCAATCTCACCGAAGAAGGCCCCGGGGCGCAGCTCGGCATACGTGCTCTCGCCATCTCGTGAGGTGACCGCAACAGCACCCCGGACAAGCCAGTACATAGCCTTCGCATCGTCGCCCTCAGTCAGGATGTAGTCTCTCGGCGAGTGTAGCTGTGGTCGCAGATGTGTGGCGACGGCGGAAAGAAACTCCTCGGGCGCAGAGAGAAACAGGGGAAATGATCGGAGGCGCTCGAGAAGGTCAAGAGGCATGCCATTCTGGGTGGTGAGCGGCGACGGCCGTGCGGGTTTGGCCGGGTTGGTCTGGGACTCGAAATGGTGCACGATCTGCACCGTGCTGACATGCCCATTGGGGCCGTCGGGCGCGGGGGAAAGTACTATCGGCGGCCCGCGGCGGCGGTGATGCATCGTGACTGGGTAATTGCACTGATTATCTCTATCTCAACTGCCTTGCTTGGGAGATGAAGGAGACGACTCTTGATTTATGCCTGGGGATCCTCCAAGCTAAGGCGAAATGATAGCTGACTCCAGGTGGCGAACGAGGGCATGCGGGAGGAGGACCAATACTAGTAAAAGCCTACCAGTGGTACGAGGTAGTTTTGAATATTGAGAGGAGGAGGCCCGGGGGGGGGGGGGGGGGGTAGGCGGGCGAACGAGGAACGAGAACGAGAGAGCAGATAGAGTAAATAGTAGTGAGAAAGAAAAGAGTACGACCTCAACCGGACCTCTTCAGGGACAAGAGCACGGATGCCCCCCCTTATCCGTATTATATGAAGCAATGCCTGCCGGAGACTTAATCTACCTATTTACTTTACGCGAAGGAAGATATTGTGTGCGTAGTAAGTAAAGTAGGAGCTTGTATAGTTCGTCCGAAGTTATTCCTTTTTTTCTTTTTCTTTTTTCCTTTTCCTTTTCTTTTTTTCACTAAAAAAAGCAGCCTACCCCTTCTTCTTCTTCCTCTTCTTCTACTACTACCCGCTCAGTTCAGCCAAGTTGGGGTTGGGTGGTTCCGTGTGATATATTCCGTGACGTGAGGGCGGGGTTAGGTTAGAGATCTAGAGTGTTGCGGAACCAGAGAAGGGAGGGGGGCTGTTTCAGGCGTCTTAATGCAATGCCGTAGATAGGAATTTTTGGCCCCCAAGCGAAAGGGAAGGAAGATCGATTGTAGGACGGGACAAGCGGAGTATTGTAGGAATGTTATTGTATTTTAGAGAAAAGGGCAATAGCAAGATGTGATCAAGGGAGAGGGAGAAAGAGAGTGAGTGAGAGAGGAAAGAAAAGATGGCGGAAGAAAAGAAGACCGCACACAAGCAAGGTAGGTAAGAGGTATGTATGTATGTAGCACAAGACACGCACGACGCAAGAAAGGCTTCCAGAAGTTATCTGGAAGGAAAAGAAAACTACGGGTTAGGCTGGCTAGACCTGGCTTTGGGGGGGGGAGAGTGGGTCGTCTAGAGTATGTAGGCAGTGATGTATGTATGTATGTGTCGGATGTATAGATACCTACTGGGATCGTGGGATTATAATATGTGGTAGTGTATATGTGCAGGGAAGGTACTATACCAACACACACGATTGGCTCTATTTTCTCGGGAGGAGAGTGAGAGAAAGAGTGAGAGAAAGAATGAGAAAGTGAGAGTAAGAGTGATAGTAAGAGTGAGATTGAGAGTGAGAATAAGAGAGAGACCTTATTCCAAGGAGTGATGAAGGGAATTCAGCTTGGTACGGGAAGGAGGGAAGGATAGGTAGTTAGATAGTATGTGGGCTGGATGAAGATGCCCAAGAGAAGAGAAGAAGAGGTGGGATCTTGCGGAGTTTCAAGTGGTGGAGTTGAAGTGGATGGATGAACGACCAGCGACAAAGAGGCGACGATGGTGGAGACGATGGAGGTTAGCCACGGGTGGTGTTAGCCTTACGATTTACGGGGGGGCGAAGCGGGGCCCTCCTGTGGTAAGCTTGCGAGGAGGCATCGCGGGGAACTGAAGAACTGGTCCGTGTTCCTCTCACCCACCAACTGGGAGGCGGGGGTGGATCATCTATCTTCCTCTGCCTGTTTGATATTGGACGTAGAGTAGAGTGCTCAGGATATGTATGATATCTACATGTGCTACATGTATGCATGATATCCTCATCCTGCATAAGCTGTCCTTTCTTTTCTTCTCGACTCAATTATATCTCCGTGTTTCGATGCGTTTCTTCCCCTCTTGACCTCTCGACGCCGCAGTTCTCGGTGAGAGGTTTCCCGGTCATCAGGTACTATGTGAGGCCGAAGAAGAAGTAGAAGAAGAATAAGAAAAAGAAGAGAAGGAATAATATGAGATGCAGAAGTCGAAGCTGGAGATAACCAACAACAACTCGGGCACCCGCATTGCGACTTAGCACTAACAGAGGAAGACTGTATCATGTAGAGCAGTTGAATGCATGTATTGTTTAACTTCAATCTCAACCACATCCTTGGACTGCCATACCTCCTGAACCGGCCCTCTGGAAGATTTGAAGAGAATGAAACGAACGCAGAAAGGAAAGAAACACTGAGCAATCGGATCATGTCAGGGTCCTGACGCGTGTACGACACTGTTGTCTGTCCTTTTTTCTTCTCTTCTTTCTGTTCCACCTCTACACAGGTATCTGAACAACCAATGCGATTGATAGCCAAACACCTAGTTCCACGCGAGGGGTGACGCGATGACGATATCACACATTTATTTGCCGTGTCTGGATTGGAGCGAAAGAAAGCTGGTCACTAGCGGGTGTCCCTTCCCCTTCTTTGCACGGTGACACCACCGCCCACCAGAGATTTCTGGTGCATGCATCAACGCCAAGGCTGGCTGTGGGTGGTTGTGCGCTTCAACGAGTCCTTCTACGGGACGGGTTTCTCGCCTTTCGCAACTCGCTCAACCGCCGCCTAACCTCGCCTGTTTGCCGCACGATACCCGAGCTCACTCAGCATCCCTTTTTGGTCTTTGACACGTCGGCCTCGGGATAAATGACTGCCTGCCACCTGTAACGTTGCTAGTAGTTCACTGCCACATAAGTGCTTATCCACAGGTCCATTAGTAAGGGAGTGAGCTTAAACGGGTCTGAAATTAGAGCCTAAACCCTAACCCTACCGGACTCGCACTTATCAGAAGCGGGAACGGGTTGAATCTGGCACTGATCTGGATACCAAGGATTTCAAACAGATTCGCATCGATAGTTTGGAGATCCCGTCTTGATGTTCCCACCCCCCACTGCAGCCCTGTGGGGTTGGTTTGCGGTGTCCATCCAATTCCCCCCCGCCCCCCCCAAACAAACAAGCTCTGTCAGCGAAAAGAAAAAAAAAATGCGAGCCTGATGTCCGATTGGGCTGGCTTGAAACAGTATGTATGATGGCTGATGATCTGGGACTAAATTAACGGCCACCGGTAAAATTGGGGGTAAAAGAACCAAAGACACTCTCTCGAAATACACAGAAGTTGTTGATATTCCAGGATCCTCGTTTATAGGGTCTTCCCTGTCAACGAATATAAAGTCTCTTAGCCTCCATGCATGTCCCACTAGCGGTCAAGAACTGATGAATACACACCGTCTTCCCGCTCACTTCAGTCTCAGAGCATCCAGAGAACTTGCCGCAGACGTGTTATAGGGGCGAAACTACAGTCAGCTACCTACCATATGAAATGGAACACTTCTAGTAACATGAGTAGCCACACATTCACTATTGACACGTGTAGGCGTGAGACCAAAGTTCCGTGTCTTGAATGTTACACTGACCATATCCATTATAGGTAGGATCAAAGCTTGTATTTCTCGCCGCAACCCTCTGAACCAGATTACGAGACCAGGTTAGGTGTTTCAATGCCTGAGAGTGTATCTTTTCTCTGATTAGAACTCGCGGTCCTAATAATCTGCAGCCCAATAAAGGGACCGTATGCCGATCTATGCTTCTTCACCCATATATAGGGCAGAGCAAGCCGATGATCAACAGTACATATGTTGCCTTGTCTTGCTTTCTCCCCTTGCATAGAAAGCCGTTGCGGACATCTGCACTGCGGGGAAAGCTAACGGCGGCTACCCCGGAATTTTGTCCTAAAGTAGTTAACGTGTTCTGAAACAGACCTGGATTAATGATATAAAGCGTGCGGCCGTCTAATAAGTTACCGTGACCGATCACGGCAGTCTTTTGTTTTGAGTGAGGCCAAAGTGTTATCTTCATGATCGCATTTATCAAGAGCTCCTATGTTGGTAGGGTACGTACAAGCGGGATTGCCCCGAGGGCGCCAAACGTGGCGAGAACGTTGAATCATAAATAGGAGTGCTACCGCAGTGTTCTAGAGCAGACTCATAAGGTCCCCAAAGGAGTTTTAGCAGTTCATCCGGACCGAACTTCCGCGTTTCGCGCACGGAGGTATTCATCCCCCGTCTTGTTTCAGAGAGCAAGCGAATTTCGACATCAGAGATCTACGGTTCCCCTTGATATCAACTGGGGTGGGGAGGGGTACGCGTGAAGCTGAAGTGATTGCCTTGTTTGGTTTAGCTGATTAGGCCTTGTGTTACCATGGTACTTGCAGGTTTGCTATTTAGAGCCTGAGGGTCTGATGTAGGTACATACGTGCAGAAGATGGAGCGAGGGTAAGTAGGAGGAGCCTCAGGGTATCTTGAGTGCAGAATCAGAGTGAAGACTCGCCAATTCTATGAAGAGTCCACGAGTAACTACTCGAGTTCCCTAGAAGCAGATGGTTCCGTATATATCTATATATGCGTAGCTTGTTGCTGCAGGACAGTAGAGGAAATCTAGTTTGGCTAGTTGACCTGCGAGATTTTGCATCACCTCTGAGATGTTTATGTGAGGCTGTGGGATCACTGTGACGGATGAGTAGCTGACCGTTTAGATGGTGGGGGAGAAGAGTGAGTGGCTTGGTTGGTGCAGGGGGGCTTGAAGTCGGCATTTTTATGCACATGATTAAGCTTGTTATCTGTAGCTCTCGCCTAGCTCTCATCTAGATACATGTACATTTCTATTACGCTAGCGCTCCCTCACTAAGGCTACATCAATTAATGAATTATCAATCAATCAATCACTAAGGCTATGTCCTACCTGATATACGAGTGATAATTTGTGAACGCGACACACAAGAGACGAGTGATTGTACGTGATGTCAACTTAGATGTTCAGCCACACGGTTTGGTGCTCGATGCAAGGAAGAAGTATCTGAAAATAGATCAGGTATATATCTTTATCGCTTACACGTAAACACTGGCTAGAGAATACTGTATCCAATTATAAACAAACCTTTAGTTCAACTCCGGCTAGTAAGTTTTAACAAAATGCCTTCCGATTGCAAGGCCAAGAGTATAGTATGTACTAAGGCGACCTAGAGCACTGCCAAAGGCTTGGTTATAGTAACAATTATAGACACGTTAAAAGATCGCTCATAGACCACTAAGAAAAAGTAAGTCTGTTACAGAGAGTCTTGTCTGAGAGATGTTATTATCAGTGTCTCAGCTGCCTAGTGCGGCGCCGCGCCGGAAAACTCGGCTTATTATCTCCGTACGCACTGCGCACGGATGTCACTTACACTCGAGGAATCGTATAGTTCCCTGATGACTGTTAAAACGGGTCTTCTATGTAGGTACATACATGTACTCTACTAAGGTGCTTAGGCTTAATACCACACGAAACTTACGAGGCTGATCAAAGCCTGAAACACTGCATATGCACAAAATAATCCTGATCACCACAGAAAAGGACTAGCCCCGTGTTTATTCCTATCATGTCAGTCTGCTCATGGCCCGGAATACTTCTTCGAGCCCAGAGCCTGCTAGCTAGTACATGCAAGTATACGGGAAAATAAAATTTAATCTAATTAGATTTAAAGGTCAAGACTAGAGTATCTAGTACTCTGGTAATATCGGGCATACCGATTCGGAAATATCGTTAACTCGGGCATCGAATTTGGAATCCCCCGTGCGCGATAACGGCTACTGAATCTGCGTCGTAAAATTATCGAAGATATAAAAGTACATGTATATCTGCCCAGCCAAGGAACTGGGCCGGTCCAGGTTCTGTCGCAGGGTCCGCTAATACTTGATTGATTGATTGATAATTCATTAATTAGGCCACTAATACTTCAAAGTGCGGCATATATATATCAAAGTGCAGTGGTACATTAATTATATTTACGTTCTTTCAATTACGTGTCCTCAGTGCGGTAACTAGGGCCAAAGATCATATCATCTCATGCGCGCAGGAAAGATGTGGTTTTATCCCGGTTTGGTTTTGGTCTAAAATCATGGGTTTTACTCGCAATCTCTATGTATAATGCAATGTACCGCTCTGCAGAGGTGGGGTATGTACCAAGGCTCGGAGAGATCTAGACGGTGATATTTAACCCTTTAATACCCTAGATAGACAAAAATGGGGTACAACCGGTGGCTTGAGATGGTTCTCCTGACTCTATCAGAAGATAAAGGTTTGTACGTACCGGCATTGTATACCCAGACACTCTTCAATGTCTAGAGCAGGACGGGTTTGAGCAAGGTCACTCGAGGCAAGGGGCGAGCCTGGCTCGTACGACGTCCTTGCGGGGCTAGGCCTAGGGCCTAGCTAGTGCCTTATATAATTGTACTTTTTACAAACAGGGTTTAATAATACAAGCAAGATGATATAGTAGGCCCGTGAAGAGATATAGCTCTACAACATAACTATGATTTTATATGTACATAAATGTTGTAATTCGCGCGCTGAGCCAAGCATAAAATGGTATTGTTACCCACTGATTAATTGCAACGTTAACTGACTGGATATTCTGTTGATGTTACAATCATTACCCTTGTTTCGATCTAATCTCATTAAGCTTATATAAGTCGAGGAGTGTACTTATACTTTTCTTCGGGAGATAGCTATACCTAGCTTGCACCTTATGTACAAATATAACTATGTATAACCTGATGTCGATACTCTTGCCTAAGCTATAGGCCTTGTTACGTGGACTAATAAGGCACCGCTGCGCTGCCTGCACGGACACGTGCGCGGCTCCATGGATGGGAAGTTCCACATGCACATAGTGGGCGAGCACTCTAAAATCGCCATCATTACCTACTCCTTCTATGAGCCAAGTGTTCTCATTTCTCATCGTAAATAGGAAATTTATGTAAGGTAAGCGTATGATACATGTATATATGGCTATGTTCTAGTCCATCCAGGAACATACGGCCCATTCAGGGATATGACGATACGTCATGGCCAACTAAACTCTCCACTTAATTCAAAGCAAGAAGTCTTTACTTAGAATTACGAACAATTGATTTTCTTCTATTAGACAATTTGATTATATTTAAAACCTACGAACGTACACTCTATTGTTATAGTTAGATGCATCATGAAAAATGACTCGCCAGAGATATCCGGATCCTACTTTGTACCGGCACATGTATATGGATGAATTGGAAGCCATCCCATGGATATTTTTGAAGATTTGTAGGCGTTCAAATGTGGTCTGTAGACACCCCCAGGGGGTGTCTACAGATTTGTGGTGAGCCGTTTCTACGCAAGATCTGTAATTTATCTTCAAGGCTCCAGGTTTGAACATCTTCAGAATATCCACGGGATGACTTCCATTGATTAAATATTGCCAGGTCTAGAACATATTTCTGAGTGGCTATACTTACGACGGGAATGTTCTTCCCAATCTACGGTGTGAAAGTGCGGTTGAGACTGAAAAGTGTAGGCGGCGGAGCCTTAATAAAGCGCCATCCTCACGCCGGTATAAGTACTTAACTGCACGTTTACAAATTCCTCATAGTTCTTGTTAAAACAGGATGTCGCCTATTCGCGCGGCTGCCAGCTACTTGATGCTCTATCCGACACACTATTGACAGCGAATTTTCTGTTTGACATGTTATCCTAACTATCTCTAGCTATAGTTCGTCTAGATCTGGTGATGCCACCTAGGTACCCCTACCCTATAATGGAGGACCGAAATATAGGGGTGATCATGAGATCAACTAAGTAAAATGATAAGATATCTAGATCTCTTACCTTGGGCTACACACAATTTGGTACCAATATTGGCTGGACAGCATTTTTTTCGCCAGACGAAGGGAGGGATACAGCATTCTCAATATGGCGAGACTTTGAAATTTACTGTATATACATGTATCAAAAAAAAAAAAAACACTTCTAATAATCATAGTCAAACTTGTTTTCCGCAACCTTCGCCATCTGTCTTTTCCTGATATACCACACTCCACCGGCAATGATTGCACACACAGCTAGCACACCAAGTACAATTCCTACGACAGCCCCTGATTTAGGCTTCTTTGAGGGTTGTGGCTGGTTGACTGTATTTAGTTCTGCCTCCGAATTTGATGGTGTCGCTTTAGAGGCGGAACTGGTGGTGGAAGACTTGGAAGTGGGTGAGACAGCATATCTAATTGTTGACAATGTGGTATGCGTACTCAATATTGTAGATCTAATACTTGGCAATGAAGTTTCAATCAGTGCCGTTGTTATTGGGTCTGAAATGGACGTTGGGATCGGAGTTGTAACTGACGGTTGTATTGATTCCGTATTTATAGATACTGAGGGCGTAGCTACAGATGCCACATCTGCGACCTTGTCTAGCTCTGCGGTGCCAGTGCTGGCTGCTTCCTCAGTTGCAGGGGCACTAGTAGTATCCGCGGCGGGTACATCCCCTTCTGTCATTGTAATAGTACTAGTACTAGTTGTCGTAGTAGTGCTCGAGTACTCTTCCCCTGGGACACCATTTCTCGCACAAAGACACTTAAACCCGTCCGCTTTACCAACAAGCTCGACTCTGAACTCTGCCTGTACAGTGTCACAGTCCTTTCTCCCGGAGTTTATGCACAGGCTTTGGAACAGTGAGCCTTGATCTGGCCCGGGTGGTTGGTGTATCTGCATCTCCATGAGTGCGCAGACAGAAGCGCAGTCTGTGAGGGGGGCAGAAGTGCTGCGTGGCATATTAGCGGTGAGAGTTACAGGACCGGTAACAAGGGAGGCGGCGGGCGTTGTGAGGAGGAGAATTGGGAGAATGCGGAAGATGAAGGATATGATTGACATGATGACTTTCGAATTCCTGGAATGAATGTGGTACGGGGATATATAATTTTCTCCGATAATCTGTACTAGTAGTAGTAACGTGAAATCGACCAGCGATTTATATGAAAGAAAGTAAGTGAAAAAACGAAGAGACGGAATTAAAAAGATTACGGCCTGCCGGATCAAACGGTAACAGATCTAGAAGCGAATAGTTGTGAAATCAAAAATCATAGACTTGCATGGGGGTATTGCTTCACTTTATAGAGCCAGCGAAACACATGACATTATGAGAATATTCTTTAGAAACATCAGACAATGAAAAGCTTTGAACATACTTGTGGAATCTGTTTCAAGCTAGTACTTAGTTATGGCGAGACGACGCCGAGCACAAAGAAAAAATAGTCATTGACCCTCCAGGTGGGTGCTTTGTCGGCTAGATTTGCTACATAACTCAATGAAAGTTGATGGTAAAGAAATTTATGAGTTGGTACTACTCGGACGTTCATTAAATAGTCGGATATCGTTGTAACCATATCTCTACTAAGAAATATTCTGATAATGAACGCATAAGTATACTATGTACTCACATATCTATCCTTTTAATTCCACTAAAAATTGCCAGCTTCCATATATATATTGAATCGCTAGAGCCTAGACCAGATCCATAATTGCACTATGATGTATACCTCATGTAGACCTTAAATGCGTTAGATCGCCTATGTAGTTTGTAGGTTTTCCTGGTAGGCAGTATACGTATGCAGTTCTTGATAAGGATACGTATCGTGAAGCGGGACACCGGTATACCATAAATCTACATTAGTAGAGAAGAATCAAAGGGGTGAAAAGGACCGACCAAGTCATCGATATCCGGTTTCCAATATACTATGTATATATTTAGAGTACGTACTCTTTCAACTAGCCAAACCGTGAAGTCTGAATATCATCGATCTTGGTTCGGCTACACGACAGCTCAAGGAAATACAATGTACACGTATGTATGTATGCATCCTGACATGATTGATTCATATTTCTCTAGAATAAACGACATGTGTTTATTTTCTAGAACAGTAATCGATTGTGGGAGCGGTTGGCTTGCGAGTAAGTACTTATATTCCAGTACAGCATTTTGTCTTTGGAGTCGAGAAATATGATTGCTGTATCACTTATAAGATCTACACTGATCACAGGTGGGTTCCGGTGAATGCGTGCTATTTTTATACCAAGCTTAAGTGTGATATTGGCCTAAACTTGGCGAGTATGTGGTATTGTTTGCTTAACATATAAAATCTGCAACAGGTCCCTGGCCGGGGAAGTGGAGTACCTTATACGTAGTAAAGTTCATCACTAGCTTGTATTTCCGGAATCACTTCTGACATCCATGATATGATTTAATTACCCTAGCCCGATCTGAGCTTCATTTGTCGGTAGAGTATATTCGCTGGCCCCGATTTAGCGTCAACAGGGGCTCATCACCAACAACAATCGCATGCAATCATCCCAGTAATCAGTTCGAGGTTTAAACACTGCCCCTCTTTTATTGATAGTGGCTAGTATTGTACCTACATACTTCGTTTCTCGACCCTCAATCAATCATCCATATTTCCTTCTACAACCGCCATAATACACTTTTCTCTCTTTCTATCTCTCTTTTTCTGGCCATGTTGGCCTCAGTCAAGACGAAGTATTCTAAATTGGCGACGAGGAGTCCAGGCTTCCAAGATCCAGAACAAGGTATTTATTTCGCTCACTATCTATCTCTACATTGAGTAACAGAATTAGAATTCATTGAAGAGCGAAATTGCCGAAGGAAAACCTGGAAACCATGGTCGATCCGACCGGTTTTTCTGACGTTTTTCATATGTTTTTGTGTCGCACTCACTATTGTGGTTGAGTTACTTCTTCGAAAGTCCCACAGAGATGGTGGCCTCATTTTCAAGGAGCTAGATGAAGAGGCTCTGCCGATGAAAGCGGATGTCTTGTTCAATTACCTGCCCACAACTATCTCAGTTGCTTTCGGTCTTGTTTGGGCCAGCGCAGACCACAACTACAAGCGCCTCGAGCCATTTTTCCAGTTATCAAAACCTGGGGGCGCTACTGCAGAGCACTCTCTATTACTCGACTACTCTTATAGCTTTCAACTTTTCGTTCCGTATAAGGCCTTCAAAAAAAGGTTCGCCTCAGTAGAGATATATATCAGGAAATCTTTTTATAACTAACATAATCTAGGCACTGGTCTGTTTATTGTTCTAGCATAATCATGGTAATCACTAGTTTGTTCCTTACTCCTTCTATGTCTGGGATCTTCGATTTAGTTGGGACCTATACTCCTGGGGAAACCATCGAGATCTCAAGGGCCAATCTACATTCGGCCCAAGACCTAAACAAATCTTTGTCAACAAAACCTCTCTACTTGGCATATAACCATGCATGGCAAGATAGCTTGCTCCCGGAATTCACTACCGCCGAATACGCTATTCTTCCTTTTCAGAGCCACCCAGGAATGGGAAACGGAGACAGATGGACTGGGGAGAGCATTCTTTATGAAGCTGATATGAATTGCCGTAATGCAAAGATGGTGGAGACAAAATATGGGTACAATATCACAAACGAACAAGATTGTTCCTATCATTTTATACAACTTGCTGCGGTCAACGATACTCAAGTATGGGATGGTACTGGCATATCCCAAGCCGAGGGGCTACGAGCGTTACAGGCTTTATTTACGTCGATCGGGTTTTTTAATCCCGGACTGTTTTTCGGATATGCCAATAATTCAAGAGAGAGGTCGCCGGATCTTTACTCATTGTCTTCACCTCTAGCACGCTGTTCAGATAAGCACAAATTTCTCATAGCGAGTGGTGGGAATTTGGATGTTAAATCGCAAACGCTTTTACAAGGATTTACGTCAAAATTCTGCACACCCGCATACTGGTCGCAGTCCGTCAAGGTCACAATGGAGATGACAAAATCAGGCGTCGGGCGCATTGTAAATGTTGACCGTCTCAAAGGCAAAAGAAACCCGTTCAATGACTTTAATATCACAAGCTTCGAGGAGTTGATTACAACCGGTCGAGCTTCGCCGCCAGAAAACCTGTTCGGTGACTTTCCGCTAGATGCTCCTGGAGCCCCCGAGAGTTATGCTAACTACCATCTCAATCCACGGTCTTTGGAGTCTCTCCAATGGAGTTATGAAGACGCACTTAAGCTCTTGTTCGCATTTGCTGTTTCTTCTGAATTTGTGGACGATAGTCAGAATTCAACTACGGTCATCAATAGCACTCGTCTATACGGAACTCAGGCATATGTTACAAATGAGCTCTGGTGTAGACTTTCACAAGTAGGATTCGGAGTTCTAAGCCTTTTGACTTTCTGTCTTCTGGTTTCCACGTGGAATCGAAAATGCAATCTTGATGGAGAGCCAAACAGTCTTGCCGCTTTGATGCAGACACTATCACAGAGCCCAGCTCTGCGCCAGAAAATGGAAAACTCCGAGTTTCGTCATCCTATCGATCAACGCGAATTATTAATTGAAAGCAAAAGTATCTATCGACTTCGTTTGAATAACGACCAAAGCCCTTATATAGAAGTAACCGATGTGAAAGGAAAAAAGACCGTGCAGCCTGAGAGCTATGATCTTTACAATGAGCCAGCGCAAAAGGAAGGCCTTGCGCCGGTCGAAATGGTTTGGGGCCCAATAGGATTTTTATACACTTTTTATTTTACTATCCTGTTATCGTTAATATTGTTCTTGTATATTGCCGACAAAGTGAAAGGAGGTCAGTTATCCCGTCCCCTACATATCTCCTACCGCAATCAATGGTTTGAATAGGCGGAACAACAAGAGTTGGATTGGATCGTAATCAACCTATTGCCGGTCATATCCTTTCAATACCAATATTTCTAGGCCTCTTTATTAAGATGGATTCTTACTGAATACAGGACTCCGATTCTCCGCACCTGAGTCTTCTTTCAAGTTTAAGCTTCTATTTTCACACTTACCCACCATCACTGGCACTTCAATAGAACCGTTATGGGTACTTATCGGAACATATGCCTGCATGGTTGCACCCTACGAAATCCTTCGTCGTGGTCACGCACCAAGTTCCAAGACTTTAACAATAGACTATGATAAGACACCACCACACTTCCAAACATTCCAAGCACTCAAAACCGGAAATTTTGGCCTTGCTGCACTTACCATCGCTATTATTCTTGCCAATTTCTTGGCGGTAGCTCTCGGAGGTCTCTTCTCGCCACGTCCATTTATATCCACAGAAGTTGGATCTTTCCTGGTAGACTCACTCAACATTACCAGCAATCAAGTCATGGGTGAAGATTCGTATTTCCTTCTAGCAGCAAATCTATCAGGAAACGCTCTGTTACCAAACTGGACTGTACCAGAGTTTTATATCATGAAGTTCGGAGAATATGGGAGTGACTGGGTTTCGAGTACTGTGAGTATGGAGGCTGAAACCTTGGGTTTCGGGACAAATATCTCCTGTGAACTGCTACCACAAAACGAGGTAATAGTTCGGAATGGGCCAGCCAGCGACCCAACTGATTTTCAGCTGGGTGTCAACCACGATTGCTGGACAACCGTCAAATCACAGTATAACTGTCAAGGTTCTTGTTGGAATCAAACCAGTACCAATACCACAGGTTTCTTGATAGATTCGAGTTGCCCTGGAACCTTTTTTGTGGGCTGGGCTCAATGGCCCCCTCAACATACCAAAACCGAAGCAACTGTGCTTGTTTGCAACTCTAGCATGATAATCGCCAAACTTTCGGCAACTGTGGACTCGTTACATCAGATCATCTCGTACAATAAGCTCGGAATGATCGCAGAAGCGGATGTCGACAATATGGTCAGTAGAACGCTTCCCATCATCCCCGGGACTAGTCGAGCGGTAGCCTTCGATGACCTTTTTCAACAATCAATTTCCACATCGTCCAATGTTGCATGGATTGATGTTCTCATGGCACAACTGCAACCTAAGGTCCGCCAAACCGGTAATGCAACCAACATGCCGGATACGGCTTACGTCGTAGAGGCATTTGAAAGTGCTTATAGACAATTGTACGCAGTGAATCTACGAATGAACGCCGAGCATGATATTTCTATATCTTATCCTGGGGGTGATTTTGATACTGTTTACAACAAAACAACCATGAAATATAAAGTTCATGTTTCAACGCCAATGTTTAGCATCTCGCTTTCAATTATAATTTCTTTCCTCCTGCTCCTATTGTGGGTACACATAGTACGTCCTGGACGAGGCCTTACCCACTTGCCGAGAAGCATGGCGGATACGTTTACACTCCTCTACGCAAGTGATGCCATGGAGGATTGCTCGCAGCTCCGTGGAGAAAACGTGAGGGCGAGGGGAAGGATGTTGGACAAAATGAAGGATACGTACGGATATGGGCTTTTCAAGACTCCTGATGGGGAAGAACATTTTGGTGTGCATAAGGGCTCCTCCAGCTCCGACGAAGGAGAATCGAAGAAGGATGTTTCTCGAGTGAGTATAGACGAGGCCTGATTATAATGATATCAGCTTGTTTTTGGTTTCCTTTTATTTCTTTTTGTCTATATTTTGGGGATTCTCTTTCCGAGGTACGTTGGTTACTCGAGTGCATATATGTTGGAGTTTAAAAGGGGTTTTTCTTTCTTTTTCTTTCTTCTTTTCTCTCTCTAGATCTGGCTAGCAGGTTAAGTCTATGTTTTCCTGTGCGTGCATAGATGTAGCTACTTTGTGTAGAAGATTGGCTGTGGGTTGGTGTTCGAGTGTGTATGTATATATATGTACCTGATGCACGCCTCTGGTGTCCTATGCCAGAAGTCTGCTGGCATCTTATAAGTCAAATTGCACTCTACTGTACTGTCTTCTAGTGCAGTCAATCACTTTAGGTCTAACTTATACATATAGATCTACAATTCCAATATATTACACAGAACCCTAACCCTTGCCACGGTGGCGGTTGCCATGGGTACGGTGCTAGTGACTAGCTACGATGTACCAAAACACAGACCTCACCCGCGCCGCTGTCGCTGTCGCTGAAACTCTGCCGCCGCTATCGCAAAAGAATTCGTAGCTTCGACGCTCCCGCCCCTTCTTCCCGCCCCGCAATTATCACACCCCCCAACTCCGCAGCCCCCCTCCCACACACACACCAATCTAAATGTTGGAGAACCAACCTCCCCACAAGAAGCGCCGTCTCACGCGCACCGCCTCTCTCCACATCTACTGCCACCCCGAAGATGACCACCGCACCGACGCCGCAGCAAACAAGATGGCGGCCAATGGGCCTGCAACGGCGGCCTCCCTCGGATCCGAACCCATGGACACCGACATTGTCGAAGAAATTCTCCCTACAGTAAAAGTACCGAGTATCGCGACCGCCGCCTACGGCGACTACATCGAGAGCCTCCCGATCAATGTTCTTTTCCAGGCCCGGATCCAAGCCTCACCGGCCATACGCACAATGTATCCGCAGGCCTTGGTCGGTGAGTCAATTCGGCTGTGGTATCCAGACTACAAGTGCTTCAACGGGGTGCTACATGATGGGATCGTGCAGCGACTGGGGGTCCATAGGGATGCTGTGAATTCGCTGAGGATTGTTGCGAGGAAGGGCGGGGAACTTATGTGGGATGGTTCGTTTGCGTGTTTTGAGAACCAGTGGGAGGAGGCGCTGGGAGAGCTGAGGAAGAATGGGGTGGGGAGGAGGGTGGAAGGTGGGTTGAGAAGTGCGGATAGTGTGAGGTTGCTTGTGGGTTTATATTGCCCCGCTAGTGATTAATTGATTACGCGATATCCACTCTTTCTTTGTACTAATTGTATTCTTTCTTCTTCCTTCTTTCCTTCTTCAATTTATTATTGTTTTTAAGGGTTTTATGGGAGTCATGAATTTACGAGTAAGCGCCTTTCTTTTCTTTATGTCTACTAGGTAATTTATAAAATCAATATGGGTACCAAGTTCAGTAACTATAAATGGATCTCGTTGAATTACCGTCTCTTATTTAATTGCCATTCCTTGTTTAAATAGGTCTCTCGACCTTATAGCAAAGCCCCCTAAATCATAATAGGACTTCTCTTGATAGTTATAGGATAGTTTTCTCTAATGATTATGAATTCGAATCCACTAGTACTATCACCATTTTATCACCAGTATGAAAGTATACATCTTATACTACTACTGAACCAGATGGCATAGGTCAGCGTCAAATACATGTTTTCTCAAATACATGTTTGCTTGCTTCTATGCTTGCAGCCTCCAAGAGGCAGTAAATCCACGTCAAATGCATTCGAACGGGTATTCCTGTAGACGTCAAATATGTGTTAAAATACTTATTAGAATCGACGACTTCGCAGGTATTAGAAGAATCTTATTAAAGCCTAGCGTTTCGCCAATGTCTGTACTAGTTGCGTCACTAGCGATCACTCGGCCCTAGGAAAATCCACTATTGTTAGTTAGGAGTAAGCTAGTGTTAAATAGTAGTGATCACATGAAAACAGAGAAGAAGACAAGTGACTAAAAACCCGACAACCTAACCTAGTCCCGAATATATATGTAGGAATTGTCGTCTCCAAAATATATCGGGCTTCGTCCCCAAATAGGGCTTTCTCGCCTCCGAATAGGGCCCTCATTTCCTCGACCATTGCAACTACCTACCACATCTAGTTCAAGAATCACATCTCGTTCAATTGTGTCGAATAAGGCACTCATCCCCGCGTGTTTATGCCCGAATCAGGACTCCCGTCCCTGCGTTGTTACAATACACCCCAAACAGGGCTAACGGTGGAACGCTCTGGAGTTGATAGAGGAGAGTACCTGCTTAGGTACCTATAAGACTTGAGGAACACAGCTTCTCAGCTGAGTTCTGGTACCACTTGGTAGACAGCCAAGACCGCGTATGATGGGCATTGGGCACTATGTAGTTTAGCAGTTGGGGGGATTAAAGAGTCCAAAACCCCCCACCCGCCCCCCAAATAAGACGTTGGAATGGGGGCGACAAACTCATCGAAGACTCAAAAGACCTATGGAGTTAGACACTCTAGGTGGGATTTGGTACATCATGTACTCGCAGCAGGTAACAAGTACCCGAAAATGCACGTCCTAATCTGCAATTTCCATTGGAGTAGAAGTCAAAAATACACCAAAAACTTGCAGCTGCATATTCGGGTACTTCATGCCTGTCGCGAGTATATATATAGAATCACGCATGTATGCGGTTAAGCTTTGACGCAAGCAAGAAGGACCCTGGCTCTTGGGCTTGAGTAACTAAGCTAGAGTACATAAGCCGCTGTTTCGGAGATTATCTCAACCTGAGCTCCGTGAATTTCAAGCAGGCAAAAAGTAACGGGAAAAATGAATACTAGTTTCTAAACATTTACCATTCTTGCTAAAATCAATGGTTATATAGCTATATAGGCCCAACGGGACAGGCACTAGGAACTTAGCAATTTCGAACCGTTTCCAGTGAGGTCCAAGTGGACAGGTTGCACTTAACTACTCTACGGTGAGTCGGTTTGTGAGCAAGGGTTCTCTGTCCAGTGACAACTACCAGCACCGTTCGCCGAGAACCTGAGAGACCAATCAATTTCCTGAATTGCGAATCACACGTTTCTACAACTTGGTGTTCTTACAATGTATGGAGCAGTCCTGCAGCTGAAAATGATAGGCGGTGGAGGTGACAATTCTTCAACGAATCGTTCCCCTCCGCCGAATAAGATGCAGTTTCATGGGAATGAGGAGACTAGAGAGCCAACGAATTAAAATCTAGAATTTCCCTACACAGAATTCCTACTAGATACTTTCATTCTGGATTTGCAACATATCAGGTTCGAAAGGTGTGACGTGTGAGAAGTAAAGAGAGGCTCTCGAGTCTGCATGTGCACCTTTCGGGCTCCTTGCTTTGATTGCTAAACCTTCTTCCTCTTCGAACTGGCCAGGCCAGGTGCCACATTGACGACGATACACAGTCGCCAGAGAATTTTTTTTTCTTGCCTCTCGGGAAAGATCGAATAATCTGCCATTTCCTTGGCGAGACATCATTGAAATCGAATCACGCGTTTACCCCTCCCATGGCTTAGTCCCCGTTGCTTTTTGGCGAAAAGAAAAGAAAAAGTTCAACTGTCTGGTCCGGGGTAATTAGGTGGTCAAGACCAGTACGTAACTACATGTGGCTTTCAATTTTGCATATGTGACCCCCCGTTTTGTTTTTGGTCTTTAAGAGTGTACTCCGAGACGTGTGTGCTGTGTGCTGTTTGCTATGAACTACATGTAGCTGGCCGCTCTTTCCATCAAGTTTAATGTAAGGGGAACTGTTACAGCATGGTAACATCGCCAACTACATATATGTATGAGCTTAAGCTTGTGTTCCAGTCTTATATGTACTTGCACTAGAGTATAGAGTATACGTACGTAGGCAGGTAAGATGTACTCGTAAGTTCATAGCGTTTCCGAACACGACCAATATTGCATGACATACAAAAAGGTGGATTTAGCGCTTTTTATATGGTATGCAATAGCAGTCGTGTTCGGAAACGTCATGAATTTACGAGTACGGGCCTCCTCGATTTTGCATAAGAATCAGGGTTTTCTGCACGTGCCCATGGGTATTAACGGCGTCGAAGTGTCACGTCAAGGAGCTAATTCGCGTTTTTAGAAACAACACAGTTCAAGGTCGGTTAACCGTGAGAAGGAAAGTCCGTATTTATTGTACTATAACCCCACATCGCGGCTGGCCCGCGCGGCAGTGCACAGACTTGGTTTTCATATGTAGTATCGCACCTCCCATCGTCAGCATCATCAGCATCATAATCTGTTAGAAGGCCAGGGGTTGGTCCAAGTGGAAGGAAATCTGTTTCAATACTCGAGTCCACCGAAGCCTATCGATAAGCTACTCTGATAGGTGGAGCTAGACATTGCATTCAATACGCTGGTGATGGCGGATGACCCGATGATGCTGATGGACCATGGAAGGTACCTTTTTGCGAATTCGGGGACTATGCATGGATTAGGGATTAAATATAATTACTGGGGAGTGGTCAACCCTGATGTCTGCAAGTTGCTGCGCTTCAAGCGCTGGAAGAGCTTCTTTCGTGACTGATGCAGGTGGTTAAAGTACAATTTCAAATGCGCCGCCAATTGTTCTTCCTGGCCTTGTAATGTGGTCGTGGTCCAAAGGCTTGAGTTGGCTGAGCTGCTGCGAAGAGATGTAGGTACCGGCAAAGTTGAGCAGCGGATTGTAAAGTATCCCAATACCCACATGTATACCTACCCTTGCAATGGTAGGTAGATTTTGCATCGGTCTCTCTTGCACCCTGGAGGGCCCCAAACTTACCTCACTGGACCTAGCCTAGCAACTCACCCACTTGATGTTTATTTATTGATCTCGCTCCTCCAAACAAGACGCTTCATTCAGCACAGGTAAAAGAAGAATTAATCAGAGCGAGAAGGATCATCCCTACGCCAGGTCTCATGGGGCGACAATTTGTCGATCAAACCGAAACTCCCATGTGTCATTCATTGCCTTATTTCCTTTTTTTCGTGCAGTGTTACTTAACCTCTAACAATTCCATATCCCCCATAACTTGATAGAATCCATACCCACGTATACCCAGACATAGGTAGGTAGGTTTTGGGTATGTATGCGCTCTGCTCATACCCCTCCCCCATCCCCCTCACCCCTCTGGATCATATCACTTACCACTTACGCCGCACACACACATTCGCATCTCAGCACCGACAGCGGCTCTTCCACTCCCCGCTCTCCTACACACGCACCCCAGGAGGGTTTCTGAATTTGCACATCACAACATCATCTCTAGGTGATGTGTTAGTAGTTGCTATTTATTTTTCATTCCACCTCGCTCAGTGAGGTCCAATTATTCACAAGTATACTGAGAGAGAGAGATTGGTAGTAAACAATAGGATACTTTAATGTATGTACATTGTACTGTAGGTAGTGGGCTATGCAATCTCTCTCGGACAATGCACACCGGTAGATCGGACATGCAATATGGTGATATGATGCAAATCTGCTAAGCTTCCGTGAAATTATTATATATTTGCGGTTTGGCCCTGTCAAGGAGGCGACGGCACCTAGCTACCACAATATTGCAAATACCGAATACCAAATACCAAATATATACTGCACAGATACCTATATACATACGTACATACGTCTTTGTGCGGCTCCGTAGCTCAGAAGTATTAAGACGGAATCGGAGGCCGGCCGGGCGACAAAGGTACTCCCCACGTCGAAGGTTCCTTTTTTTTTTTTTTTTTTTTTTTTTGAGGGATTTCGATTTCGATCGCGACGCGCTGTGGTTTTCAACCATCTCTTCTTACATATTATATATTTTTTATTTTTCTTGTCCCGTCACCCCCACTGCGAATTCCTTTCAGAGCGTAGTCTCTGTTTTAGCTGCCACAGGAGCGAACTTGGAAGTACAAGTAATGGTTCAGAGGTGATAGAGGAGCACTACGTACCTCTTTTTGCGTCTACATGCTATTCTACTTGTAGTTTACATAGCATTTTCAAGTTTCTAGCCCACCTATACTGTGCTCCCTCCTCCCTACTAAGGTAAGGTGGAGCTATCACTTACTCATTCATACCTAGTTATTTGGTTACCTGTTTACACTACTTGCTTGATTGCTTGCTGCTGCTTGACCTTCCCCGGATTTCCTCTCCGGAACATCCTACCATTTTTTGTGGCTTTGTGTGTGTTGCTCTAATTTTGTTTCTGGCATATGCTGGTGCTAAATTCCCGTGGTGCAGGATTCGGGCCTCTTTCTGTTATGGCTGCAACGAACCCCGACTCAAAAAGGCCCCGTCTGAATTCTTGGGGATCGGCCTCTTCCTCCTCCTCGCCGCTCCCCCATGAGTTCCAGACACATCCTCTGCACCACCCGCCGTCACATCCCCAGCATTCTTCGCCTTACACAGCTTCTTTGGCCGGGCCTGGATTTTGGCGGGAAATGAAAACGCAGCCCCACCCCATTCAGCATACACTATCCCACCAGAGATCACACTCAGTTCCCTCACTGCCCCCGGGAGCTGGAGGAGCCAAAAATGTCCCCCATAACCACACACCACAACAACCTCCACCTCCTCCTCCTGCCCTTCCTTCCCTTCCTCCTACCCATCCTACACACCAAGGACAGAGCGTCAATAGCTCTCACACGTTAGGAACCCCTAGTACTGGGCATTCACCTCGCTCTGTGCACGTGCAGACCGGTTCACCACTTCAGATGCCATCAGCTCCCAATTCAAACCCTAATCCTGGCTACCAGGGCTACCAACATCAGCTTCAAAAACCCCAGGGTGGTCTTGATGGTTCTTCTCCCGCACCCACATCATCCGGTCCTTCAATGCGCACTGCTATCGACCAGCAACAGGTGCAGCAGCTCCGCTCTCTCTCAGTATCTGGTCATTCCCAATCCTCACCTGGGGGTCATCCTCAATATCAGGAGCCAAACTATTACGTCCCACACAGTGCCGGAGATCCCAGAGGCTCATTAGGAGTCGAATCAATATCTCCTGGGAGCACTACTACACTTGGAACAGGCCCTAGTCCGATATTGACTTCTGGGGGATTTGCTGGCGGTCCTGTGGGGATGATAAATCAACACATGCAGGGACATCCTTCAGGAGGACAAATGAGTGGTGGAATGGCAACAAGCCCGGTAACAACACCGACGAGTGCTGGAGGGATGATGAATGGCCTTCAAGGGATGGGGGTGGTGACAACCTACCCCCCACGACGAAAAGCTATTAGAGCTGCTCAAGTACGTATTTTGAACATCAACTATCATTCCGTGATTTTAGGATTTTGAATTCAAGGAGCTCTGCCCAAATGCAAAACAGAAATAAGGGAGTTCATCTGTTGAGAAAAGGAAAGTGGAAAAAGAGAAAAGCCAATAGAATCAACCCTGCCACCATTGGTTGGTAGTCTAATGTTTAGCAATGTTTAATTAACCGCAATTGTCTTGTCTTAGTACAGATAGACAGAGTAACCGAAGCGCAAAACGTGGGTGAATTGGTACTAACCAATTGGGCATAGGCATGCGATGCCTGCAGAGCTAGGAAAGCCAAGTGCGACGAAGGAAGGCCAAGCTGTGGATTCTGTAAAGAATCACAAATTCCTTGTGTTTACAGAGAAGTACCCCCACCAAAGTGAGTTTCAAAGATCGGAGATTTTTTCTGTGCTTTTCTTTTGGCTAACATGTTTCTTTTGGTATTAAAGACAGGATCGAACATTACTCCAAATCCTGGACCGATTAGGGAGAGTTGAAGGTCTTCTTGACGCAATCAATTCCTCAGGGCGATCATTTGAAGCACCAAAGACCACAGATGTAACCCCTGTAACAGCTAGCACGCAGAAAGATGTTTCGACTGCTACAAGCCCCCCAGGACCAACTATGCATCACTCGCCCCCATTCTACCGTCCTTCCCCAGGGCCCTCTCAGCTCGCATCTAGTAAACCTTATAGTCATCCACAACAACAAACAATCGGCACACCTGCCGAGGTGTTGCTAGAGGAGGATGAGCAATTGGCAATACCGTATCAACACACCACAGCGGCACATAAGTTGATGTGGTGGCCTAGCATTAGAAAGCTCATTGACGATGAATTTCTGAAGAATGAAGCATACGTTATGGATGAAGAAGAAAAACGGGGACCCCTGCGAGTTCACGGAAGGGGAGAGGGTATAGACACTCCCGAATCATGGCTTGAGGATATGGACGAGGGAATCACGGACTCTGGATACGTATGGGATAGCGGGATTGGCGTTGAAGAGGTTATGGACAATAACTGGGGCAGTAGTGAAGACACACCCATGGAAGATATGGTAGATGGAAATGGATATCAACAGTCTCGGAGGCAATCAGGCACTGAAGGAAGCGGCTTGACTACCGGGGGAGGGCTCAAAATGGATCATCAAACCGTATTAAGGCTTCTCAACAGCTATCTTTCCAACATTCATATTCTGCATCCTGTATTGGATAGGTCCACTATTACCAAAATGACTTTTATGTTCGCAGACCGTGTATCATCTACTCCAAAAGTAGCTACGCCTACAACTCCATATTCTACAACACCCGGAGCATCAGTAGGGCTAGGGCTAGGAGTTAATGATGGTGGAGACAGCGGCATGCAATCGCCAGGTGTCAATAGGAGAGGTTCCTTAGCATCAGTGAAAAGAAAGCGTAGCATATCTTCCACAAGTATAGGGCCAATGCAAAGCCAATTAACCTCAATGAATTCGCAAGGCTCGGCTTCTGGACGCAGTCCGTCACAACGAATTCCGAAAACGATCCATTCAGCATTGGTGCTCTTAGTTTTGGCTCTGGGGGCGGTCTGTCTGCATAAACGCCCTGTTCCTGGTCCGCTTCAGCCAACGTCAGGCTCACCACCGATTCGTAATAGCACGCCATCATATAAGACTTCCACCCCTCCATTCTCTGCCTCTACTCCTCCATATCACCACAGTTACCCACAACACTCATCTAAACGACCAAAGGGCCGAGAGCTAAGAAACATTGATGTTATCCCTGGTTTAGCTTACTTTGGAAAGGCGGTAGAAATAATGGGGACTCTAATGGGAGGGAACGAACTTGAAAACGTTCAGGTTTGCCTTTTGGCTGGGTTGTATTGGGGCCAGCTGGGGAGAGTGCTTGACAGTTGGAAATGGATCAGTTACGCCTGCATGGGCTGCCAGATCCTGGTCAGAATGTAAGTCGGTTTAACTTGCCTAAGTTCTAGCCCTTGACCTGTGATAATAATAACAGTATGATAGGAGATTGGAAAGCGAAAAGGATAGCTTGCGTAAAGACCTGATTTTGCGTGCGTTCTGGAGTTGTTTGCAGCTAGAAAGGTTTATATCTCAGAATTCGAGCAAACACAATCCTCAAGCTAACATTTGTTTCTATTTCTCAGTGATGTGCTTGCAGAACTTGATCTTCCGCCAAGCGGAATAACAAGGCTGGAAGATTCAATGGCTCTACCAAGTTCTATCGCCTTACCTCCGGCTTATGACTCAGAGACAAGGGAAGATGACCCGCTCATGTGGATGTATTACTTGGCTCAGATTGCCTTGCGAAAATTGCTCAACAGGGCGCATACAACGCTGTACACCAAAGGTGTGTTTTGATCCACCGGATATATGAGTCTTGGCAGGCAATGGATATGAACGCAAACTAATATTTTATTTGACAGAGTCTAAAGATCGCTTTGATTCTCCCCGATCTCTGGCAATCGCTAGGGAATTAGATTTTCAACTTGAGCAGTGGAAACTACATCTCCCGGAGCCACTCCGTTGGGATGAAAGCGACCCCCCAGCAAGTAATATAAACGCGGCAAGATTACGTGCCAAGTATTGGGGTGCGCGGTACATAATTCATCGGCCATTTGTGTACTCTGTAATCCACGGGAGCGGCGGTACCGGCGGTAGTACGTTCTCTTCGATGTCCCCTGCGAGCGAAATGTCCCAACAAGGTTCCCCCTCGGCGACCACACCAAATCATATTTCAAGTATAAGACGACCAAGTGCCACGGGAGAAGATACGCCCGTTTCATTAGAGAAGAGTTGCAGGAAATGCTTGGACTCTGCAGTCCAAAGTACCACATCATTTCATGCGTTCGATCCCGAGGAGAATAGACCTATTATAACCAATGTGTTTGGCACAGCTCATGCGTAAGCAATAATCCCATCTTTATTTAGACCTACATTTAAGGTATATATATTCATTCATCTACTAACGTTATAATATAGACAATTCGGCAATCTTCTTGTTCTCCAAGCCGCATATCAGTCTTCTACACTGAAGCACATGATTGACCCTCACGTCCTCAGTGATTTGCTCACAAAAACAAAACGTTGGTTACGGACATTGGCGCCCATCTCTTCAGCATTACGGAAAGACGCCCAAATCCTTGAAAACTCCGCATTGAAGGTAGAATATCAGTTGCAGGGACGGTCCAGCAATTACTGAATCGAGTCTTAAGTGCTGCGGTACAGGCGGTACCCCGTCCCGGAGACAACACCCCTCCTGGGTTGGATTTATAGGTCATTTATGTTTATACCATCATTCCGGCTTTCTATATTATTTTCACCTTGTTTATTCCATTTGTTTTGGGGAACGGTCACCGCGATCGGCCATTTTGTTTTTGGTGCGTCTTTTCATATCTTGTGTTGTACGAGTCAGGCGGTTCATATTGAACATTTTTGTCACAAAGGGGGGTCCGGCGTTGATGGTTTCATTTAAGCACTGGCATTCGATACCCTGTTCATTGGAATTCATTTCTACCGAAGCGCGCTATCATCAAGATCTCACTCGTTGGCTGAAAAGTCATTCGCAGACCCAAAAATATATTGTCCGAAAAAAGAAAGAAAATGGGGAAAAAAACAAAAAATGCCAATGCCAATGCCAACCGATAGATAGCCCTCCCCCGAGGAGTGATACATTTATAGGGAAAGAAAAAGGAAAAAGAAATAAATCCAGAAATAGTCGACATCAAGAAACCTCCGTTTAACCCGCAGATACATCAGTTTATCCACTGCATGGTTCCTTCTACCCTAAACTTCGCAGAACCCCTTATATCCTGGGAGCTTGCAGCTGCATACACCTCAAACTCCGCATCCTTATCAACAGTCCACGAACGCATCTTCTCGTCCCAGTATCCTAAAGCGTACTTGTCGAGGACATAGCTCGCCGTTTTTGTCTCCCCCGTTCGTAGGTCAACCTTAGCAAAGCCCTTCAACTCTTTGATAGGTCGAATAAGTCCAGCCTTCGAGGTTTGAGAAACATAAAACTGGACAGATTCCTTCCCGGAAACCTTTCCGGTGTTTGTGATATCCACCGATACGGTGAGCGTGTCTCTAAGGACATCGCCGGAAAGACGGGTGTTCTTGTACTCAAAGGTTGTGTACGAAAGACCGAATCCGAAGGGGAACAGAGGCTGGACCTTGGCTCTCTCGTAATGGCGGTATCCTAACCAAATCCCCTCACCGTATATAACCTTTTCATTTTCCCCGGGGAAGTTGTGGAAAGTAGGTGTGTCTTCAAGCCGGCGAGGGAATGTAACAGGGAGCTTTCCGCATGGTGAAATGTGACCTACCAATACATCATAGAGAGAGTTTCCGAGCTCCTGACCTTGGTACCATGCTTGAAGCACAGTAGAGGCCTCATTGATCCAGGGCATAGTGATTGGAGATCCAGACTGGTTGACAATGATCGTATTAGGATTAACTTCGAGGATCTTGGCAATAAGATCGTTTTGGGGGCCAGGCAAATCCATAGATTTCATATCGTAAGCTTCACTCTCCCATTCGATGTTTTTCCCTCCAACATATACAACAATATCCGATTCACGGGCTAGCTGGATGGCCTCTCCCATCAAGTCCTCCTTGACTTCTTCCATGAAACCAACCCGTGAACCGTCCATCACCTCATCTCTATAAAGTTCATCGGTGTAGTGAACTGGGATTGGATCTAGCTCACGCGAAACCCCTTCGACAGTGACGTTATATGTCCTACCAGCGACCATGTCGAGTTCGCAGCGCTTTTCCGGAGAGGCATAGGCCATAAACATCTCAGACCTTTCTGACTCCTTCGTGCGATCCCAGATGTTGATAAGTTCTTTCCCGTCAACCAAGAGACGCCCAGGGCCGCATGTGCCCATGCTGAATACATGTCGTCCTGATGTTTTAGGTGTCAGAAGCCCAACTGCGCGGTAAGAATATCTCTTTCCCGGCACAAAGGACTTTGGTAGATTGTCATAGCACGAGAGCAATGTGCTCTTCCGGTGTGCGGCATGGACTGGCGACCCTCGATGGAGCATGTTGTCAAAGTATTCCATGTGCATGCCATGTTCGCCATTCTTTGGTGAAACACAGGTCTCTGGGAACAATGGAATCCATTTGTGCGCAAGACAGCCTTTAGCGTACTTGACCCTCAAGTTGGGGTATTTCGTGGAGGCGTTTTTGACAAATGAATCCAAAGGCGTTTGACGATAGTGGGGGTTTAATGAAGCGGATCTGTGATCTTTTAGTTAGCAATTTCATTGACGAAACAGTTGCACGAGATGTTTCATTGAAGTGCAAAAAGGTGACCTTCCAGAGTTGGAAGGGGCAAAAAGCAAATATTGACTCACCCTCCACCGGCAGCCACTGACTCCTTAGCATTTGGACCGATAAATGCGATTTGTTTTGTCGTCCCTAATGAAAGCGGCAATAATTTTTTCTCATTTTTGAGAAGAACTATTCCCTCAGATGCAGCTCTTCGGAGAAACTTTTGATGTTCCGGTCGGTTGATTGCTTCTTCTTGCTCCTCGACCCAGTCTGGGTTCTTATATTTCCCGGTTCTGTAGATCTGAATAGATTTAAGATTAGTTAGCATAGGTAGATTCCCAATAAGATCAATGCGGAGGAGTAACAATGATAATAATAACAGTAAGGAAATTTTAATTACCAATTCCAAGATCCTTCGCACGTTGATATCCAAAGTCGACTCCTTCATATAGCCTTTCTTAACTGCATCGACTAGGTTCTTTCCCCTCTTCCGGGCAGGGCCCGGCATTTCCAAGTCCAGGCCTGCCTCGACGCTTGGAACGATACTATTCATACCAAACCAATCACTCATAACCACACCATCAAAACCCCACTCTTCTCTTAGAATGCCAGTCAACAAAGCCTTGTTATTACTGGCATATACGCCGTTGATCTTTGAGTAACTCGCCATTACGCACATTGGTTTTGAATCACGGAGCGCAATCTGGAAAGGTACCAGATGGAGTTCTCGGAGGCAACGATCAGTCATAATTTGATTTACAACGAATCGTTTGGTCTCCTGGTCGTTGGCAGCAAAGTGCTTGATTGTTGTTGCAATGCCATGGGATTGGACGGCATTGATGTAGGCAGCAGCGAGCTTTCCTCCAAGGAACGGATCATCCCCAGAGAAGGATTCGAAATTTCGGCCGCCGAGCGGTGAACGATGTAAGCAAACTTAATGGTGTGTTAGTATAACTTGAATGCTTCAAAAGACAAGTGTCTAACAAGGGTGCTATATCTTACCGGTAGGTGCTAGTAGGATATCTGACTTCTTGTCCCGAACCTCAGTAGCAAGAAGCTCGCCAATACCGGCGATGATATCGACATCCCAAGTAGCGGCAAGGGATACTGCGCTTGGTGTTAATGCTGCTGTAGTTCCATCGACCATAGTACCTCCCCGGGCACCGACAGGGCCATCTGTAGTCTAAAATGAATAATATTAGCATTATAAGAATTAACTATAAAGGTTCCTGGTGTGAAGCTAACCTTCAACTGGGGAATTCCTAGGCGGGGAACAGGGTATGTCCTCCACAGGTCCACGCCTGAAAGCAAGAGAGATTTTTCTTCAATGGTAAGCTTTGTGAGCTTTTCATCAACCCAGGTTTTCATATCTATTGGGAGATGCATTTTGCTTTCGGTTCTGATAGTTGATAAAAGATTTAAATTTCTTGCTGATTGAGGTATGTATTGGGCTTCTTCAAGAATGGTGCTGATGAGTATCTTGAGGCTGCTTGTTTGAACGGACGGGGACTCACGGACAAGATATATGTACCCCGTGGAGCTCAAGGATGATGGTGGTGGTGGTGTCTAGAAAACTCACTACAACCTAACAGCTCCAGTAGGGGTAAGCGTAGTTTGTGTTTGAACATAGTAACACGTTGTCACCTATTACGGTGATCAAGAATTTCTAAATGTCACTCTAGTTTTTTTTTTCCTTCGAAAAACGTGTGAAGGATTTGGATGAGGAGGGTTACTGCGTTAGCCCCAGGGCCGGAAGTCTATCCGTTCACGCGATGTATGTACATATATGTATGTACTGTATGGATGGTGGGGTTTTGGATCTAGCCCTTATGCAACCACTAGATATAGATCCCTGAAGGTACATCCGTGTGGGGGTATAACCTTCTTGGGAGTCATGTATTGGACCTAGACTGACAAGGGGATTTATGTGTTCAATGCACTGATCACGTTCACTTGATATGTATCAATAGGACTTACTCACAAAACCATTTGACAATGTAATTATTTTCGTTATTACTTTTTCAGGATTTCAAGGTGTAGCGGGTACATACGTACGAGTTATAGAGTTTTTGTGAAACCGTCCCAAGTTTTTGGGAAGACTACTGGCTATGGCTGTGTATAAAAATTTTCCTTAAGGTAGACATGTTGATAGATGCAGAAGATGGAGGTTATTATACTCGGATTGGCTCTTATGAAGTACCCATAGCTCCTAGTATTGCCATTGCTGTGCTTCAACCTATCCCGAGGCCATTATGCAAGAGAGAGCATAGGACCTGGTCACTTGAAGGAGAAAATAGGGGACAGCGTACCTAACTGGACCGGCCCAGTTGCAGACTTTGGAAGGCCAACGGGTCTAGTTTTCTCTAATTCGGCCGATGGATCCAATCAAGCACAGTGACTAGGTACCTAGAGTACAACAACGGATAGGTAACCCTGTGTCCCGTATCTGCGGCTACTGCAGACCCCACACTTCTGTGGTTTTCTAGTAGAATAGAGCAGTTTTCGATGCATTCGAGCCGTTTCAAATTCGGTCCGCATGATTCTAAACATGGTTTTGAAATTCTGAGGAAGTAAATATTCAGTGTAGACTGACGTATGCGCATACTCAATGGAGTTGAGTACCCACTCAAGTATCAACATCTGAGTAGAGAAGGCACATATAGATACATACTGGAGGGCACTTCTTACTCTCGGCTGCGAAACTTAATTGCATAAATGTAGGTACATGTTCTAGATGCCCCAACTACATGTGTGCCAATCAATGCACTTATAGTTTTGAGCGAGCCAATCAAATTCATAAAGCCATGGTTACAAATAATAGTTTTTCAAGTTGTAGAATTTGCCTCTCAGGGCAGAATATGATAGGCAACGCGTATGTGGCGCTTTGCTTCCGAGTTATCTTCTCAAACAGAGCATGTATAC